GAGCCCGATGTGGGACTCGATCCCAGGACCCTGAGATCATGACCTGAGCCGAAGGCAGCGGCTTAACCCACTGAGCCACCCAGGTGCCCAGACTTTCAGGTTTTAGACACTGACTGCAATCCTCAGCCTGTTATCCTGTGTGTCCTGGGCTTATGGCCCCCTTCCTCCATCTTTTAAGATGGCAAGAGTAGGTCAAGTCCTTATGTTCTACATCTCTCTGATGAACTCTCTTGCCTTACTTTTTCACATTTAAGGACCCTGGTGATTACATTGGCTCCCTGGAGATATTCCAGGATATTCTCCCTATTCAATGTCAGCTAATTAGCAGTCTTAATTCCATCTGCACATTTCCTTTGCCATACAAAACAACACAGTCCAAAATTCTGGGGCTTGAGTGTGGGTATCTTTGGGGCCATTATTGTATCATCAGCACACAGTCATAAAAATGTAAACCTGGCCAAGAATATGTACAACCAAGGGGTCAGTTATTGAAAGAGGCAGTTGACTATGACCCTGAACGTCCCTGCACATTATTGATGAATGCACCTCTGAAGAAGCTAGTCACATAGGTAAGTAAGTTGGTGAAGATGACCACGGCATGGCTCCTTTACTGCTTTCAGTCTCTAGGAAAGGGCAGCTGGCTCAGCCCTCATGATGCTGAGGGCATGTGGAGCCACATCTGATCCATACATCACTCAGTGGAACAGAAATATGGGGAAGCATGCCAGGCGAAGATGGGGGCAGAGATTGAGGGTGATGTGGCCACAAGTCAAAGAACAGTAGTACCCAAAAGCAGGATGAGGTGGGCAAGGATTCTCCCCAAGAGCCCTTTGGAGGGAGAGAGGCACTGTTGGTAACTTCATTTTGATTTTCTAGCCTACAGAACTGTGAGAGAAAAAACTTCTGATGTTTAAGGAACAGGTTTGCGATGATTTGTTAATGAAAGCTCTAGTTGTTACCTTTGGAATCTTGTTATTGCTGGCTCCATGAAATTGACGTTCTTCTTCATAAAGAATACTTACTTACGTATTGTATATTGTCATCTCTCTTACTCCCTAAATGCAATATCCATGAAAACAAGTCTCATTTGTTTGATTTTCTGTCCATGGTACCTACAAGAGGAACTGGTGGCTTTTTTAATGTTTAATAGTGTGGTTCTTCAGGTAGCATCCTTCAGATTCTTGCCAAAATTCAACTAAAATTTTGAAATACCCACAGCATCTTGGTAATCAAGACCTGTTATAAAACAAGAATGCAAGCATATATACAAAGTTCACCATGGCGAACACTGGAGTTATTCTCTCACACATCCCGGAACCATAGATCTGAATAAACGACACTCAGCTCAACACCGTTTTCATTGGATAAACTGTACAATGATTTCACCTCACATCCACAAATGCTAAGAGAATCATAACGAGGGCTTAAATAGGAAAAGTCTCCTTTGGCACTAAATTTGCAGCAGAGTTCTACTTCATACTGTGTGTCTCCAGAAGCATAAAAGAATTTTGAGGGGAGCACAGTTCCATTATGTTGACTCTCCATAAATCCCAGGATACTTGCTACTATAATGAGGGGAATACTTGTTATAGACACCACAGTGCTTCTTCTGAATTTCCAAATTTTTAATAATTAATTACTGAAATACACCTGGTGGTGTTTATGAGGAAGCCAATATTTTTCAGCATAGTATGGGTAAGAACAGATGACAAAGCTATATTTATTTCTCTCAGGTATTGCCATAAGAGGAGCCAGCACTTCTGCTAATAAGACCGTGACCAATATTAGAAACTTTCAATCTATATTCTACCAGTGTGTATCCCTTCCAAATAGTCATCTGTGTATATGTGTATGGGTGTGTGTATACACACATACTGAATAATCTAGTTTTCATTAGCACTTTATATTAAGTGTTGATAACCAGTAGCTGGGGAAATTATTTAAAATTATGAGATTGTAAGTAATAAAAATATATCATGGAATATAACACTTCAAATAGGAGGCAAATCTACAAAATTTATTAAGGAAATAGTTTTCTCCAACATGGATGTGAAAAAAACATCTATCAATTTTCCATATGTGCTATTCACTTCATCTATGTATCTACATGTATTCATGCCATTCCCCTTTTATGTTTATATATAATAGATACTTGCTAGCTAAAGCTAGATACCACTTGCCTATCCTAATAATGATTAACAAAATTAGAGATCAACTCCGTTTTTTCTTGAGACAAGAGTTTATTTTTTAATTTAAACTATATTTTCCTTTAAAAATTGCCTTTCAAAAAGAATATATTTGCTATTATTGTTGCAAATGTTTTGATTTATTAGAAAATACATTTATACTTATTGGAATTTATTGGAAACTCAATGCAAATTTTCTTTAATGGAGAGGAGAATTCATGGACACAAGTAACTTAAAATCCCAGGGGTATCTTTTTTTTATTATTAAGTTTTTATTTTAATTCCATATAGTTAACATACAGTGTTATATTTGTTTCAAGTATACAATATAGTGATTCAACAATTCCAGACAACTCTGGGTGCTCATTGTAAGTGCACTCCTTAATCCCCATCACATATTTCACCCATCCCCCTCTGGTAACCATCAATTTGTTCTCTATAGGTAAGAGTCTGTTTCTTGGTGTATGTGTGTGTGTATATATATATAGTGTGTGTGTGTGTATATGTGTGTATATACATATATACATGTGTGTCTGTATATATGTGTGTATGTATACACATATATATTCATACACACATCTTCTTTATCCATTCATCAATTGATGTACCTTTGAGCTCTTTCCATAATTTGGCTATTGTAAATAATGAAAGCTACAACGAGACATCACCTCATATCTGTCAGAATGGCTAAAATCAAAAAGAAACAAGTGTTGGTGAGGATGTGGAGAAAAAGGAACACTTGTGCACTGTTGGTGGGAATGCAAACTGAGGCAGCCCCTGTGGCAAACAGTACAGAAGTACCACAAAAGGTTAAAAATAGAACTACCGTATGATCCAGTAATCTCACTACTGGGTGTTTATTCAAAAAATATAAACACACTAATTCAAAGGGATACATGCGCCCCTATGTTTACAGCAGCATTATACAGCTCCCAGGAGTATCTTAACCCAGGCTATGGCTTAAGCCAGAGAGGCTCATTATGCCTCCTGGTCAGGCCCCTCTCCATGCCTCAACTCTCTTTCTCGTGCAGCTCCTAGTGAAAGTATGATGCTTTTATCACCCTAAATCTTTATTTCCTTAGGTTTAATTTTAGCAGCAAGACAGTGCATCTCTTCAAGAAATCTAAGCATCATTACATTTCATTGTCTCTGATGTGGTTACCTGCCCATACTAGCATGTGTGTCCAGAAAACTTAAATGTTTTCATTAGATAAACATGAATCAACTACCCAACCTGAAGGCAGAGGTGGTATTAACCTTAACCAAAGGATGTGGCCTGAAATTTGGGGGTGGAGTTGATCCTAAGGAAAAACAATGCATGTTAAGTAGAAGCCAGGTGTATACACGTTAGGGTTCCCCAAACGACATCCACCCACTAATGAGACAGAATGGATGTTGAATCTCCAACACATTTACTTTCATGTTTTGCCTTCATAAAATATTTAAGTGTATATTTTATATCATCTGTTCTCAGATCTCAGATCACCGGATCATTATCCTAATTGATTGTCTTTATCCTCTTGGATTTATCAATATTTGGCCTACCACATTGTTATACTTTTCTTATGTATATGTAGCTCTGCATGTCTGTGTATGTAATGGGGGGATGTTTTATATATTACATATATATAAAATAGCTATAGATGTAATATATATTATATATCTATATATCTATATATGAATTCTATAGTATGCATATGGCAAATAAAATGGTGGGACATATTCTGACATAAGTACCATCCTCTCCATATTCTACTTGAAGATGAGATTTATTTTCAGGTTGTATCCCAATAAAAATAACTCTATTTCTATGGTGAGGTGAACACTGATGATAGTGTACAATGTTTGGAATAAAAAGAGATAAAGGTAGAGAACATATTGTAGCCATTCTTAGATAATACTCTGAAGTAATCAACAAGTATTTTGCTGCAGATGCTAACAGAAAACTTCCAAAATAACAATTTGGTACCGGCTTAATCATTAAAGAAACTAAGCTACATCATTAGCGTACACCAAGAATAATCTGAATTGATGGATAAAGTCCCTAAAACAACACAGAAAGGTACTTTAATTTCAGTGCAAAAATTTGGTCAGAGACGAACAACAGGATCTAAGGATAAAGCAACTAGTAAAGGTCATGACATGACAATTCTTTTAGCTACACAAACTAAGTATAGCCACCAGATCCCTTGAGGGGAGTACTTAAAAGTCAACTTAGGAGATCCCATGACTTCTTTTTTTGTGCCTTCCCCACCCTTTCCACAGCATGTGGACTTTTGCTATCATTCTTCCTCCCTTCGCTCACCAGCAGTCTTCAGATCAGTCCTTGGAGCTCCATCACCAAGCAAGGGACCTGTGAGACAATAGAGATAGATTTTAGAGCCTTAGAATCTCAGCTTTCTCCCAAGTTTCCAAAGCCATTTTTCTCCTCTACCCCACATACTTAGAAGAATCTCAGAAAATTAGTAGATTTCACTTGTTTTCTTCAAATTTTACCCAAAGCAAATAAGCCCCTGCACTTATTTACTGGGTATGGAATGTTCTTACACCAGGCCCCTCCAGGTAATAAACTCCTCTCTCCTTTCTGATCTCATTCTGAATTGTCATTTCCCAGGAAGAAGCAATATAACCTAAATCTACTAATTTTCAGCATTTAACTCAGTCACCATTATAGACTTCTTTGTTGATGATTTGATTTGACTGTAGGTTTCATGAGGACAGCTGTTACATTGTGTGTCTTGCTACCCTTACATTCGCTACCCACCCTGTGTGTGTGTCTGAAATATAGATTGGCTATTTCAACATCTATGCCAGAGTTCTTCTAGTTTTCCCTCTTGGATTGCTAAACACCTACATTTTCTTGAATCTCTTATAGCTAGAGCTCCAGATAAGCTCTAGATGCTGGAAAATAAATGTGCTCAAGCAAGGCCTGAATTTGGGCTGATCTCAGTGGGGAAGAGTGGTAACAGGAAATTATAGAGCAGTCAAGTCCAGTCATTAGGTGCCGTCTATCCCCATCTTGTAGCTAAGGTGAGTGACCTTGGGGACAGGGATGAAAGAAAAGATGTCATGGAACTCTGTCTCTTCCTGATACCTTTTCTGAGGAACCCATTCTCTAGTTAGGCCTATTCTGTGGTGGTGAACCAGGGGTCATTCCTGTACATCCAACATGGAGCTTGTCCCCACGTCCCAAGTCATCAGATTCCTTGTATTATATACATTTCTGTTATTTATCTGTTTTTGGATACCTATAGCCAAATTCTGAGTTCAGCAAATGTTTGTTGAATTAATCAATAACAAAAGAAAGAGTAGATGTCACTTGATTTTAAATGATTTCTTTTACAAATAATAGATGAGATACCTTATCTTTTATAAAATTATGTCTAATATTCTTCTTCTCTTCTTTTAAAATGATATATTACAAACACATGTGAAATAAGTAATGGGATAAATAACACCATTTGAAAATTTGTATTGCCTCATCACAGAAAAAACAGAAAACCTTTTTACCTAGTTTTGAAAAAAAATTGATCCTTCCTTTACAATCATTTAAAATAAAAACAAATTAATTTTATCTTAAAATGGATTACATGGTAATAAGCAAAAGGTGGATAAGACAAATCTAATAAAAAGAATGAACAAGGCATTCCTCATATGGTACAAATTAAGCTAATAAGCAGTGACTCATTCAAATATAAAGACCAGAAAACATTAAAACTCAGATAATTATCTGGAGAAAAGGACGTATTTGGGTTTTAAAATTTCATAAATCCAAATTTCTTTTTTTCCTATTTGTATACAGAGCCAAAGGACATAGTTCTAATTATGAAATGCTCATTAATATGGTTAAAAAACATTCCAGCTATGTCCGCCCAAATTGAGCCAAATAAACAGTTTCTTTGGGAGAAATTGAATTAATTCTATCTGGCTTAAGGTAGGATAATTAATTTTAACTGGCTTAAGGTAAAATTATTCTTATAATACAGACTCAGCCAGCTAATTATTTCTCCATATGCTACTGTTCCCCCACACCTGCTTCACCTTGGCACAGCAGACCTCTTACATTTCCCGGCTCCTTCCCCATGTTGTCAAGGACATGCCACCAAAACAGCCACCAATTTGCCTCCAGCACAGAGAACCAGATTTTTAGGCATTAGTGCAGTAGACTGGAAAATAAATTTCATTTGGGATGTTTATTTAAATTAACTATGAAGTATATAAAACATTCTTGAAAGTAATTTGAAATTGTCACTAATGAAAGATATTTACCATATTCACTAAAGTCAAACACACACGCGCGCGCACACACACACACACACACACACACACTCTGTGATAATGCCAAATCAGAAATAACCTAGTCATTTACAGTTATGAAGGGCATTGTAATACACTTTGAAAACACTCTGTGTTGAACTTGTGGTTTTCCAAGTTTTAGTGGACATAAAAGTCATCTAGATACTTTTCTGGGGGGGGGGTGCGGATTTTGGCTAAATCTATCAACATCTTATTTTTACTTATTTTTTGGCTGCGAAAATAATTTTTTAAAATGTATTCAAGTTCTAGTTAGTTAACATACACTGTAATATTAGTTTTAGGTGTATGATACAGTGACTCAACACTTCCTTCTACCACCCGGTGCTCATCCCAAGTGCCCTCCTTCACCCCCATCCCCTTACACCCACCCCCTCCCCCACCTCCTCTCTGGTGACCATCAGTTTGTTCTCTGTAGTTAAGAACCTGTTTCTTGGTTTGCCTCTCTCTATCTTTTCTCTATCTTTTCTTTCCCCTTTGCTCATTTGTTTTGTTTCTTAAATTCCACATATGAGTGAAATCATATTCCACATATGATATGAAATAATATCTTTCTGTGGCTGATTTATTACACTTAGCATCATACTTTCTAGCTCCTTCCATATCATTGCAAATGGTAAGATTTCATTCTTTTTATGACTGAGTAATATCTCATTGTGTATATATATGACATTTTCCTTAACCATTTATCACTGAATGGGCATCTAACTACTTTTAAAATATATAAATATATATATACACACATTCCTACTTCCCAAGTTACATGCCTATTAATTTAGAATTTTCGTTTTTTCAGAAACACCCTATTTGGTACAGCAGGACCATAATCCAACTTCAGGAAACATTGCTCCAGGAGATAAGAACATCTAATTCATTTTTAAATTCCTTCTACCATGTGAATTATGCTGAACAGACACAGAATAACATGATTTCAGAATGCTAGAAAAGGAGCTGAATGTGAAATATGAATGTGATTTGTAATTATTCTTTCTTCTTTTTTTTTTTTTTACAAGTCACATGGTCTTCATTTTATTTAGTTATTTTTTTCTCAACAGAAAATGAAAGCACTTGCAGAAAGGAGGAGGAGTGCCCCATCTCCTATCCTGGATAAAGCCCTACAAAAAAGGCCAAGTACCAAGTAATTGAATAGACTTGTTTTACACATTTGGTATGTTTTTTGTTGTTATTGTTGTTGTTTTCTTTTCGCTGTTTTTTTTTTTTAATGTGTGAGGGTTTTTTTTTTTTTTTAAGATTTTATTTATTTGACAGAGAGAAAGATCACAAGTAGAGAGAGAGAGAGGAGGAAGCAGGCTCCCTGCCTAGCAGAGAGCCCGATGTGGGACTCGATCCCAGGACCCTGAGATCATGACCTGAGCTGAAGGCAGAGGCTTAACCCACTAAGCCACCCAGGCAACCCAAGGTTTTTTTGTTTTTTTTTTTAATTTTTTTTGTTTGCTTTTTTTATTTTGTTTATTTTTTATTTTTTTGTTTTTTATCAACAGCAAAATTCTCTGTGTAGTAATAGAAAGTATAAAATTCAGACCTTATTAAATAACATCAGCACAGAAGTAATTATTCTTTCTTGACTCATGTTACACTAAACTAGAACTACGTTCACACACATGCACACACACACACACACACACACACACGGAACTATGTAATGGAAAATGAAATTAAAGTTGGTTAAAAAGCAAAGAGATGATTGTTGTTAGTAACTGATATACTGATGCTTCCTTTTGTCTGTTTTCCTAGAATTTAGAGAAAATTAGAAAGCCTGCCAAATGCTGTAGGGATATAAATACCATTAAATTAAGCAAAATAAAATGATAGGGGAACAGAAAGTGATGGGCAGTAGCAGAGAAATACGAAATGAAAAATCTCTCAATTATGTCAACAACCATATTAAATTTAACTGCATGAATTAAAAATAAATAAATCCAGCAAGTGGAAAGAGTACACTAAGCTGTATCGGGAGCCAACAGCTATTTTAGTGAAAATAAACTGAAATTCTAAAGAAATATTACATTGTCCTCATGAACCCAAATTAGTGATTTTATTTAAACATAGTAGCTAAATTTTGGAAAACACAATAGGATAATGGAATTTTGGTGCTGGCAGAATCTCAGCCATTTATTCCAGACTCTTTTCTTAAAAATGAGAAAACTAAAGCACAGAGTATTATTTGGCCAAAATACTGAGCACGGACCAGGATAAGAATTTTATTCTTTCATTCTCTAACCTCTGGTTCCATTTTCCTGTTACAGATTTGCTGAATCACATATTTGGCGGTTACCACTTTCACTGAGTAGTAATGTGGATGTCTTTGGAGTCTCTCTCGTAAATCCACTAACTCCATGAGAGCTCTGTTGTCAGACCTATGCACTTCCCCAAACACCACCTCCAAATACCATCACCTTTGCAATATGGTTTCAACATATGAACTTTGGAGGGACATAAACATCCAGCAGTTCTCAGTATTCCCAAAAGTCATCCATAGATTCAATGAAATCCCTATCCAAAGTGCTATTGCTTCTTCTTCTTCTTCTTCTTCTTCTTCTTCTTCTTCTTCTTCTTCTTTTTTTGCAGAAATGGAAAAGCTGGATCTTCAAATTCATATGGAATTTTAATTGGCTCCAAATATCCAAAATGATAATGAAAAAGAAGAAGGTTAGAGGAGTCATATTTCTTGATTTCAAAATTTATTACGAAGGTGCAGTAATTGAAACAATGTGGTACTGGCATAATGATAACCATGTGGACCAATGGAATGAAACTGAGCCTCCAGAAATAACCCCATATATCTGGAAACTACTGATTTGCGACAAAGGTACCAGGACCGCTGAATTGGAGAAATATAAAAGTCTCTTCAACAAATGGTGCTGAAGCAACTGGGTAGCCATATATAAAATAATGAAGTTGGATTCCTATTCTTACACTGTATGTGTGTAAATTAACTCAAAAGAGGTCAATGACTTAAATATAACAGGTTAAACTATAAAAGTCTTAGAAGAAAACATAGGATTTAGCAGAATCACA